ATATCACTGTTTTGATGCTCTATATGTAATTATCTCTTCATTTTATTCTCAAGCACAAATCATGGTTTTCTAATCAATAGCCAATGTTTTAGATGTCAATCATGCAAGCACGGGTTGTGGGAGGAATGTATGATAAGGATCCTAATTTTTGAGGGGCATGACGACAGTGTCTTATCGGAAATATTAAATCAAAGATGATTTCTTGTTCAAATAAATTTTTTTTATGCATTCCTTCATGTTCCATTAGAAATGTCATATTGGTGGAAGGCCACAATGAGGACCTAGTTGGTCATTTTGGAAGAGATAAGACTAGTTGTTTTATAAGAAAAATTTTAATGGCATCCCATAGATAATGATTTGGATCGCCTTGTGAAGAGGTGTTGCATTAATCATATAGCCAAGACAATAGCCCAAAATTAAGGGTTTTATCTTGTCTCATTCATTCTTGAGCATCTTTGGATGGATGTTAGTCTGGATTTTGCAGTTGGTTTACCACACACTCAATGGATCAAGGATTTTATCTTAGTGGTGGTGGATTGGCTCTTCAACATGGCCCACTTTGTGCCATGCAAGACTTTAAGCCTCACATCGTCGAATTCTACTTCAAGGTGGCGGTTTGTTTACATGGCATTCCATGCACTATCAATTTAGATTGGAATATTAACTATTTAAGCCACATTTGTAAGACCTTACATAGTAAATTGGAAATCAAACTTCAATATAGTTCAGCTTTGCATCCACAAACCGACGGGCAAATAGAAGTTGTTAATAGAAGTCATGGGAATCTACTTTGTTGCTATGTATATAAGAATCTTGCAGAATGAGATCTGCTTCTATCACAAGTGGAGTTTGCCTATTACCGGTCTTGTAGCCAAATCTTCAAAAACAACCATTTTCAGGTGGTTTATGGAAGGAATCCTATATCTTTACTTGATCTTACATTGGATATTCCAATGATATCCAATGAAGGCTATGACCTCAAATATTGAGGCTCGATTAAAATAAATCCAAGAGCTTCATAAATTAATTTGGGAGAATATCATTAGATAAAATGAAATGTATCAATGATAAGCAAATAAAAATAGAAGGGCAGCCACTTTCAAAGAAAGACAAGGCATGGATTCGATTAAGTAAAGAGTGTTTTCCTCCGGGAAAACATGGGAAGCTCATGGCCAAAGCTCATGGACCTCTTCGGATTGTGGAGCATATTAATGAAAATGCTTACCAAATTGATATTCCCAAGGACAATATTTCTACCACATTTATCATGATCGACGTGACTCCACATCACAAATTTGATTTTGAAGCTACTTCTTATGAAGAATCTCACTAACCCTAGGAGAATGACACTGAAGCTTGATGTGTTTGTTGTTCAAGTGTTCTTGTGGATGTGTTATCTTTCGGCCTTTTCAAGTGTCCGGTGTTTTTCTGTAGCGTTAATTCTTTTGATGACAAACTTGTTAAAATACCTTTTTGGGAAGATATTTTTTTAAGGTTTTTCTTTCTTTTTCATAAGGGTGTCTCGGTATTCTTGCTGCCTCTTTCTGGTGTATCATGAGGTGGCTCTTAGGCGGTGCTTTAGCCCTTGTATCTTGTTATTATCTCTGAATTCCTGAAGTACATTTTTCTAATTGATTTTGCTCCTTTGTTTCAGTTATGGTTTTCCTCTATTGGTTTTTTATGCTCTATTATTGTGTTGATTTGTATTCATCATTGTTATAGTTCCAACTGCAGTAACATAGATGGTATTAGTAAGACTGATAAAGATAGTGTAGAAGGTTTGGGAATGTGAAGGACAGTTTCACCTAACCAAAATAAAACTAATTAGAAAATATCATGGTCAATGTTGAACATATACTAATTATAAATCACTATTGTCATTCATTTATTGTTTTATTTTTAAAGGAGTCGACATTTTGTCCATTGTCACATAGTTTCCTCTTTCCCGGAGTCGACATTTTGTCCATTGACACATAGTTTCCTCTTTCCCTGAATAATTCTCATATCCAGTCATGTGAATGATCAGGAGAAGAAATGAACTATAAAAATAAAACATACAATCAAGACAGACAAAAAAGAGAAAGAATATTGAGAACTTTCGTGCGGCAAATCTCGCTATGACATGTCAATCATATAAGTTCGAATAAGATCAAAATGAAATAGTTTATGTTAAATATCCACAAAAGAATTCATAGAAAATCTACCCACAACCAGAGATTCAGTTGTGTTTGTCTGTTATTGGGCCCATAATGCTCCCAAGATGATGTATCTCACTTAGTTAATTACATCTTAGGGGCTACCCAAGAATATTCTTGATCCAAGGAGTTTGGCTTACATTTAAAGTGACAACTAGCTCAAGGTTAACAAATGACGGTTATTTCACATGGGAATGCTCCGATGCTTTCAAAGTGCCCGCTAAACCACGAGGCGAGGAGTGAGTCTCTCACGGTCCCACATGGGTAATGGGCTCCTCGGCATACTGAGCCTCTAAAATAATTGAATCATCCTGACGGAGAATTATGATACATCAAAGCACATCCGGACCATAAGAGCAGAGATAAAATCGTTGTATCCTAAATGGGTGGCAGTTCATCAGTAATCGGGTCATCGAGATGATACCAAAGAAGGCAAAAGAAATGATAGGGCTCAAAGTGGGTAGTCAAAGAAATGAAAGAGTAATCCCTAACAGGTAGAGACAGTCAAGTCGATGCATCACAAACACATCATCCCAAGCTGCTAAGACCCTAAGTTTACCTAGTCATAAAGCTAGTCTACCTAACACATTCAGAGATCCCCGATCAGTAATCTATAAATTGCATCGTCCGTGGGAACCTCAGTAGCCTTAAGGTCAAAAGAACGAAAAACTATATATGACTATCACGTAGAGCTCCAAGAGGTGGGACTTATACCCACTGAAGTGGCAAAAAAGAGAAATGGAGGTTCAACTACAAAGTTGGAAAAGCTCCCAACAAAAGGATTTACACCCTGTCCAGGTTGGGGAGCGTTATAATGATCTAAGTGCACTAGACAACCATGTAAGTCGAAAACTATGTTAGGTCATCCAGGTTGAAGAAACACGGGGGCTTCTCCTCGAGACATGCAAATGATGCAATGCGGTAATAAGTCCTAATGTGGAAGTCTTATTAATTACGACTTGGTTGAGATCCATGCTATGCAACCCATTTTAAAATCAGCCCGACGACCATGCAGAAAAGTAAAAGCAAATTTTTGAAAATCTCAATTTTAATCCTAAAATTTTGACTATCTCAATCTTTTATTATTAGGATTTTGAGTAGAGAATTTATAATTTTAAGGTCCTTAATGAGCCTAGATTATAATTTTCATAGAATCCCAAATAAACCAGAAAGAAACATAGAAAATAAATCAAACATAAAAACATGCAATATAGAGTAAAACACACCAATATATAAGAAAGGCCAATGTCGTTGGGTCGATGACATATTCTAGGAAAGGATGGAAAAGCAGTCGGACTCCGCATATACATGCACAGTCCTAGATCTACACAAAAATATAGAATTCAGACTCAAAGTATGGGATGCGAGCTGCTGCTCCTGGTCCTCGTCAAGTATATTGATGCATCGTCTGCCTCGAAACTCATGTCTATACTTTATTTTTGATACAGACTTAGCTTAAGGACTCTATCAAAAGCATTTGAAAGGAAAAATAAAGACTCAACTTGTAGAAGATTGCTAGCAAGGGTTAACTCAGGCAATCATATATAAGTCTTGTCCCTTTTGTCGGGGGAGGTAAATAACATCTACAAGAAAATGATTAGTAAAAATCATTACATGCTCCCCCTTAATGGTACATGTGGGTGTGCATACATATATAGACATGACTCCCTCTCGAAGAACACCCCAATACACTACCATGCATATCAAACATACAAGCATACCAAAAAGGCACAAAAGTGAAGCTTTGCTAGAACAATCAAATCAGTAGAGAACAATAGTCAGAGGTATCAAAAATACTACATAGCACCCTGAATCCTAGCTTATTACACAATCTAACGAGAAGGTGTCCTAACTAGCATCAAAGTGCTCAGAGTAAGTCTTCGGGTATGTATGACTTTGAAGGGGGTCGCCATACTGACTCTATCCTAAAGATCCAAGGGATCTGAATGGTGTCACCTAGGATGGATTTTGAAAAAATATTGGCCTTACATATAACCTAGCTTGCTACATGTATAAATTTAAGATTATGGCAAATGTAATAAGTAGAAAATTGTATTTTTTTTAAGTTTTAAAATAAGGAAAATTAATCACACACTCAAAATATGCAAGGTGACACGAGTTAGATCTCTTAAATCCTTAGCACAATCATATTTGTGTCAATTCTGATGTTTTAACTTATATTGTTCGTCGGGATCGATCCGATAATACTCGTTAAGACATCACGACCAACAAATGGTTACTCGTCTATCCATGCACGCATATAAATGCAAATGTGAACAACTGTAAAATAAAAGTGGTCAGGAGTGCGTCGTGGAGGTAGTAATTCAGGAGAGAGCATGTAGGCAGCTGTTTCAAGGAATGGGTGTGTCGTGAAGGCAATGACCTGAAAGAGTGGGTGTGTCGTAGAGGCAATGGCTCGAATGATGAGTGTGACATGGAGGTGGGTGGGCGTGCCATGGAGGCAGTGGTCCAAAGGATGGGTGCAAAGTGAAAGAAGTGGCCCGAAAGGATGGGCATGTCGTGAAGGCAGTGGCTCGAAGGATGGGTGTATTGTGGAGGCAGTGACCCATAGGGTTGATTGTCCACGGGGTACAGTGACTCACATGGGGTGTAGTGACTCAGAAGTGGGCATTTAGTGGAGGCAATAACTTAAGAGAATGAGTGTACTGGGGCATTGATTCAAGAGAATGATGATTCTCACTAGAGAGAATCATCCAATTGGAGAGAATGTGTATATATATATATATATATATATATACACATTCTCTCCAATTGGATGATTCTCTCTAGTGAGAATCTCTCTAATAACTCTTAGTTTTTGGTCAGTCGGTCTTCTGTTGGTTAGCATTTGATCGGACGGCCTCTTGTCAGTTGCATGACCTCTTATCGATCAGCCTTCAATCAGCTGGCCTATCATTGGTTAGCCTCTGATTGATCAGCCCAAGATCATTCATGTGTGATTGTTCTGCTTCAGAGGACCCTTCATGTTTTTTATGATGCCAACCTTTCGACACTTGTCTGGTTCTGAATCGTCGTCGGACATATGGAAGATTTGGTCAAGCTCCTTTTTATTGTGCAAAAGAAAAAAAAAAGGGGGTTATTCTCATTCTAAATCACGAAGTTCAATTGTTTATAATAAAAAATTAGAAAAAAAAGGAAAAAGAAAAGTGAATGAGATTGAAAATTATATGAGAGTATGAGAAGCACTAATTTTCCTTTCATTTTAAAAAATCCATTTCATAATATCAGAATGGTAATATTAATATGATTCTGAAAAAAAAAAATATCAACAGAATATTATCTCGGGGCATTTACAAACATACCACACAATTTTTACATAATTGCATATCTAACCCCTAAACTTCAATATTCACATTAGTCACCACTCAAATCTTTTGCATCACACAAAAAAAATACAGCAATTACTACTTTTTAAAAAGTGAAATACACATTTTCATGTATAGGTTCATAACGAAAAAATTGTTATAAATATAAACATCAAACTTCAGGTGTTAGATATCAGATATGTAAATTCATAAGGATTGACTGGTATGCATGTAAATTTAGCCAGTTCTTACAAGTACTCCACAATGAACAAAAATTCTGCAGAGCATCCAGCAGAATGTGAAGAGCATACAGATAGCTAGTTTTCAACAGAGTCAAATTCCCATGAAAGCTCGGCACTGCGACTCCCAGTGTTCCTTAGCTTGCTGAAGCCTCTCTATTCTCTCGCTCTTCAATCTCTGCTCCCAGTACTCAGGACAGCTATTAAAACCAAAAAAAAAAAAAAAATGAAATCTATTTCCAGGAAGAATCTTAGGATAAACTGATGAACAAAATGTGTTGTTAAATGGCGGAGGACAAGGGGCACTACAGCAGGATAAATTGTTCGTTGAGAAATTTAAAAACATACCACACAATTCTTATGTATTTACATATCAACATTCAAAGTTTGATATTTACACTTATAACAGCTTGTTGTCATAAACACGTGAATGCAAAGATGCATTTCTGAACGAAATATTTATTTTCGATGTGATTTTAAGAATTGGAGTGGTTTATATATAAATATGAATGATAAGTGTTAAGTAAATATATGAGAACTTTGTGATGTATATGTAAATGTCACTTATTAATTTTAGCACAAGGGAAAGAACAAAATGGCAGCAATTATAACACTAGCATAATGGGAAGGATTTTTTTGCAAAGAAATTTAAGTTTTAAAGCTGCTAATCATTTTCAGCATTCAACAAACTTAAAATTAGGGGAAGAGCGACTAAGTTAACATAATATTGTACCTCTTGCTAAGCAAAATGTTCAGCTCATCCATGTATACAGCTCCAACAAAAACCCCATGCTGAAATAACTTCAAACAGGCTAAGAATTTATCTCAAGTAAAAAAAGAAGGGAAATTTATAAACATACCGGCCAATTCCTATGTATTTACATATTTAACAACTAAACTTTATTTTTTACATTTATAACACCCAAATTTTTCATATCATATCAAAAATATTACTATTTTAAATTTAAAAAAGTGAAATACACTTTTTCATGCATAGATAAGTGGCTCATATGTAAAAAATGAAGTTTTAAGTACTAGATATGTAAATACATAGGAATCAAGTGGTATACATGTAAATCTTCCAAAAAAAGAAATGGGGGAAAGATGGAAGGAGGGAGATACTCGTCGACATAGCGGGCATTTCGCCTTGTATTCTGCAGCTTTCAATCCATCAACAATGGTCACTGATGCAGTAGAGCAACAGCACATATAACAGAAAATATGGCCACAACTGAGACAAACAGGATCGAACACCGTCTCCTGAAATGAACCTTTTGATTATTCAAGAGCAAGGTTCACCCTAATAGATTCTATATATATATATATATATATATATATATATAATGGGGGCATTTACATACATTCCACTTGATTCCTATGTATTTACATATCTGACACGTAAATTTACTTTATACATTATACCAACCAAATCTTCAATATCACATAAAAAATATCAGCATTTTAGCTTGGGGCAATTACAAACATGGCACACAATTCTTATATAGTTACATTTCTCACACCTAAACTTTCGTATTTACACACATTGCATTCAAATCTTTAATATCACATAAAAAATAGTATTATTAACATTTTTTACAAGTGAGATACAAATTTTAAAGGATAGGTTTGAAATGCCAAAGAGCTATATATGTTAATATGAGTTTACGTGTGAGATATGTAAATACATAAGAATCGTGTGCTACGTATGTGAAGTTCCCTTTTAATTTTTAAAAGGTGAAATACACATTTTCATGCATGGCTAAGGCGGCATGTAAAAATTGAAGTTTTGGTGATAGATATATAAATACATAGGAATTGAGTAACATGTATGTAAATGTTCCTATTTATTGAACTCACCAAGCATATAGAACAAGTTAGATCAATGTCAAGCTTCAATGAATCGAACAAGCTACATGAGAGAATTGGTCTGCCATCACTAAATGTGAGTTTAAAATCAGCCAACAAATCCGACGGCACGGGCTTGTTCTTTCCCCTCAAATTGATGTGGAAAGCCATTAACTCAGATAGCCATGGAGAGTGTAGTATCTCTATATGCATTTTTTGAGCTTTTGATCTAAATACTTGACCTTGTTTAGAGTAATGAACCTATAAAATCACCAATCATGCATAAGATTCCAAGTTAGATTTAAGTTTTAGCATGTATATGGCAATGTGAACTTCTTAATATGTGAAAATTCAAAAATATTTACACAATCTACGGAAGGAGCATTTACACACAATCCTTATGTATTGGCAAGTCTAACATTTAATCTTTAATTTTTATATTTATAAAAATTTACTCTTTCATATAACATCAAAAATATCACTATAACTGACATTTAAAAAATGAAAAATGACTTTCCATATATAGTTAAAGAGTTATAAAAGTAAATTCGAGGTTTAGATGTTAGATATGTAAATACGTAGGAATTGTGTGGTATGTATGTAAATCATTCAAGGGGCATTTCCATACATACCACACAATTACCATGTATTTACATATATAGCGTCCAAACTTTAACTTTTATATTTATAATAGCCAATTCTTTTATATCACATCAAAAATAAAAAATTTATTCAGCCAATTGAATGTGTGGAGCGCATTTGTATGAAAAACAAAGATTAAAGGTCATACTATAACTCGTTGTACTATAGGTAAACACCTTATCATATTTCTTTAGTATTTTTTTCAGGGCGATGGAGTTGATGATAGCATAAGTGATCAGTTCTTTGCCTTCTTGAATCAGTGCTGCATCATTTTTTAGAAGCTTGCCTCCAAACCATATCATACACCTTTGGATACCAGATGCTAAATGCAGCTCTAGTAAACTCTTGGCTTGTTTGTTGAAGAAGCCAACTACCTTAGACATCTCCAACAGAAGAGAGGGGAAGAAAATGCCATCACACACTATATTTGAAGAATAATGCAAACTGATTTAATTGTAAGAGAATATCATAAAAAATAGTACTGCTAACTTAATTAGTAAACTTAATTAGATCTGGCACAAGTAAATAATGAAGAAGCATGATAACGAACAGACTGGTATTCGCTTTGTATGACCAAAAAGTGTCTCTGAATGTGAATAGATGCCACCCCTATGGAAAAGGATGCAAAGACATAAAGAGGTGCCAGTAAAAAATAACTCCCAAGAGCAAGATTGTACTTTTATATTTGTCCTCCTATAATTAGGAGGACCTCTTATGTATAGGGGGACTCATGCCATTTTAACTCTCCCATTCTCTTTTAAATAATCCTTTAAAATATGAAATGGGTCCGAGAGCCAGGGGAACACACTCACTTCTTCAATGTCACATTTTCTTTTCCTCATTTTCTTTTCCTCTCTCTCTCTCTCCCTCCTTCTTGGTTCTAGCACTCTATGCCTTGGGCATGTCTCACAGAACAGTTCTGGATTCAACACGCTTTATTTTTTTTCTGTTATGAAGAGAAGCTAAATTATAATTCAGTCTTGAAAAAAAATGCTATTTTAAACTTAAAGAAAGATTTAAATACAAGTCGCTCAATTTCTACATATTTACATATCTAACACCTAAACTTCAACATTTACATACATGCCACATTTCCTATGCATGAAAATGTGTATTCACTTTTTAAATGTTAAAAAGGTGGCATTTTTATGTGATATAAAAAATCTGAATGGTAAAAATGTAAAGAGAATAGTTTGCATCAACAAGCTTTCGCTCATCCATATAGTTTTCTTGACATTTGCAGTAACTATCTACAGTTCTCATTCTCTAATTCAATTGGCTACTTTGTCATATTTATTAATTGACTATATAAAGAAAATTTCTTGATTACATCTCTTTGATGCTAAAGACTATGTCACATAAATGTATTTCAGCGAATCATGTAAATATGTTTGTATTTGTCTCCCCCTGCTACTATTATCCTTATCTTTATACTTTGCTCCCTATTTTATGCTAATAATAATTCAATTATACTGTCAACAGCACCATTAAATGAATGATAAACACTGTGTACTTTTGATCGCTTATAGAGAGAAAAAAAACTCATCAAAATCTGATACTCATTTCCATCAACATCAATGACAAACAGCAGATGACAAGCACTGTAAGAACTTGGATGAGGATATTCTGAGCTAAATTTACTTGAGGATACAAAACATTCCTTAGATTGCAAGACATGGCAACACATTCTATTCTGTTTTGCAAAGAAAGATTCAACATATTTATAAATTGGTGAGGCAAAAAGACTCCTTTACAAACAAAATTTTGTAGATTTCAAATCCTCCTAATCTCATATTTTAAAATTATAAGAAAAATAATCAAATCATATCAAAATTTACTAAAACTAAATTAATAGAAATTTTATAAAATTTTAGCCCAAAAGCCTTTAATCTGAATTTAATTTAGGATATACCAAACAGAATTTTTCCCAAAAAAGCAGTACCAGCAGCATGAAAACCACACAAAAACAAAAACCAAAAAAAAAAAAATCTTATTTAAATTTGCAATGAACTCATATAGTAAACCACAAACCTGAGCAATGGTCAGAAAAATTGGGCACGCAGCACCAATTAGGATTATCTTGTTCTCCTTCATCCTCAATGAGACGGGGCTGAGTTTCGGATTCCCGCCTGCAGTTCTTAAGGATCTTCTTGAGCTTTTTCAGTCCCAATACTGGAAAATCCTTATTCCTCCTGATCTTCATGTACTCCTCATATCTCTTACAAAACTTCATCCCCCTCCCCTACCTGCAGCCTGGTAGAAAATGGAGACGAAACAGAGCAGAAAGATTAAATTCCCCACTTCAGTTGCGATAAGGCACCGTTCAGATCAACATATACCTAGGCTAGCTCCAAAGTAAGGTCTTTTCACTAAAACGGAGTGGAGGAAGGAGAGCGAGAGCGAGAGCGAGAGAGAGAGAGAGAGAGAGAGCTTGCGAGCCCAGCTGAAGCCTGCAGAGCAAGACTTTACTGTACACGGGTCTGGAGTCACCTCTTACATTCCACTTCCGTCGTGGAAATTCAGCGTTTACTTGCTGCGGTTATTTATCATTATATATATATATATATATAAAATCTTATTTATAGTTATTTTTGATGCGATGTGATAAATTTAAATGCTATAAATATAAACAATAAAATTATATGTGATTTTTATGTAAATATCCCTTTTTGTGTTTATAATTACATATATAATGCATAACATTCATAACATTGTTATTTGCAAAATCATCATTCAAATCTATTTTTTTAAGTACAAAACTCAAGTAATTGCATGGGAAAGAAATAAATTATTGAAAATTTGATAAAAAAAATAAAATATACAAGCTATGGATTTGTTAGGTATTTTGATATTTGTGTGATAATTTGAAAAATGACGGAATTTGATGATTATTTTGTAATTGGCAATGTTTTGGATGCATTATATATAAATGCGATTTTTTAAAAAGATTTACGTTCGTAACACAATTTAAATTTTAAATTTTAAATTTATAAATAATGTAAAGAGCATACAAGCAGGGGCGGAACTCACGCAGGGTTTAAAGACAATTGTCCTCCACCAAATTCAGATTTTTACTTATATGAGAAAGCAATTTGATATTTTGTTTGTCCTGTAATATCAGTTTAGCCCCTCTGAAATATTACTTTGCTTTTTGTTGCCCTAGCTCCTCCCACGTTAGGCCTAGGGGGGCAGTATATCCCCCTCAAAAAAGTAGATGATTCTGCCATTCATACAAGTAATTAGTCATAAGAAAATTTATTGCACTCAAGCATAAGAAGAATGCAACTTGTAGTTTTATGCAACTTATAAATGGCATCACATAAGTCTAATTAGTAGTATAGGGTAAACATGTGTGTGCCATTAGGCTCAATGTGAACTATTCCCTAAACTATATAAGTAAATTTATTCTAATCCACTAACCACTAATGTTAAAGTTATTCTTAAACAAGAAATAAGATAATTACACTGTAATTATCATGTTTCAAGTCTTGGATGCAAAAAAAAGTAAGGGGTTGAGATAGGTATTCAACATAAAATGTAATTTTTTTTCGTCAGAAAACTATAACATGAATCTTTTAAACAATTGTGTCAATACTAAAGCGTCCCCCAGAAGCGGCACGATGTACGACCAAAATACAGTAAAAAAATGTGCAAGGGTTGTTGCATTGGTGTCCGGTATAGTATTTCTCATATTATGGACAGTTTTGAGCAACTAAGTTAATCTATGAAACTAATATTAGGGTATGAACTTATAACTTAGGTACTCACATAGGTAAATTCACAAAATTAGTGAAAATTATGGTTTATACGAAGATACATATTTTATACATTCAAGAAAGTGAATGGGTTGGAGAAAAGATTAAGAAGATTGATAGTCTAGCTTCTATGCTTTGATATTCAAGTAGGACTTGTACTAAGAATGGATAAAAATGTAATATAAATAAGAGTTTGAAAGATAATATTATAAAAATTGATCAAATTGAAGATAGAATTACATCTCTAAAGATTATTGTTGAAACTAAGATTTTTAATATTATAAGTGCTTATGTTTCCTAGGTAAGAAAATTTTTAAAATAACTCAAAAGAATTGATACATATGATACTTCTTAAAGAAAGAATATTTATTGGAGGAGATTTAAATGGACATGTTGGTAGATTGGTAGAAGATTTTAAAAGTATTTGTCGTGGCTATAATTTTGGAGTGACTAATGAAGAGGTAGAACCATTTTGGATTTTCTTCTGCTTATGATTTTTTTATTACTAATATTTTATTTAAGAAAAGGAAAAAACATATTACCACTTATAAGAACGAATCTAATAACATATCAACTTATTGTTTTCTTATGAGAAAAAAAATATATCTTAAAGATTGTGAATATTGTAAGGACATTCCAAAAAAATGTTTAAGTACCCAACACTGATTTTTTATATTGGATTTTAAGATAAAGTGTCATAAGATGAAAAATATAATAAAAAATTATCATAGAATTAGAAAATTGATGAGGCTTTAAAGAAAATAAATTGCGAAAAAAAAAATAGTACCTGATGGTATTCCAATAAAAGTATGAAAATATTTAGAGTTCTAAGGATATTTTGTCTTACTAAAATTTCTAATATTATTTTAAAATTTTTAAAAAGATAATTAACATAAAAAAGTTTTTTTTTTATTCTTATTTTTAAAAATAAAGGGATGCATAAAAGTGTGTAAATTATAGAGAAATTAAGTTAATGTTTCATATATCAAAATTTAGAGAAAGATGAACAAAACAGGTTATGACATGATACAAAAAATTTTCAAATTAGTTTGGATTCATGTCGGTCAAGTCTACTATGGAAGTTATACATTAATTGAGAGATTTGATGGAGAAGTACAGAAAGAGTAAAGGAAGATTTGCATATGATTTTTGTTGATTTAGAAAAATCTTATGACAAGTTTCCAAAAAAAAGTACTTTTGAGAGTTCTAGAATCAAATTTTTTTTTATATTGCTTATATTCAAATCATTAAAGATGTGTATACTAGAGATATTACATGTGTTTGAACACAGGGAATATTAACCAAGTATTTTCTTATTTAAGTTAAATTATATCAGGGATCGACATTAAGCCCATATCCTTTTGCTTTATTTATGAATGTTTTTACTGGATATTATAGGAGGATGTATCTTAGTTTATGCTTTTTGTTGATGATATTCTTCTTGTGGGTAAGACTAGAAAGTTAAAAAATATTGAGTTTAAATTTAAAATCAAGGCCTTCGTTTGAGTGGATCTAAAATTAAGTACATGAAATATAATTAGTAGTAGTAGATCCAGTAACAGAGTTGTATTGTCATTAAAAAGAGTGAAGATTTAAGATATATGTGGTCTATTGTTCAAAAGTGATGGTGATATATATGATAATGTTATTGGTAGAATTCAAATTGGATGGTTGAACTGGAGGAATACATCGAGCTTATTGTGTGATAGAAAAATAGAACTTAGACTTAAAATATAATTTTATAAGATGGTGGTGAGACCTTCAATGACTTATGATGCAAAATGTTGGCCTATAAAAGAGAGGCATAAAATCAAGTTTTAATGAGATGAGAATGCTTAGGAAGATGAGTGGCTTTATACTTCTAGATTAAATGTGAAATGAATATTCCGTGAAAAGGTTGGAGTAGCTCTAATGATAGACAATATTAGAAAGAATCACCTTAGATGGTGTGATCACATTAAATTCAACCTCTGATGACCCAGTTAGGAGAGTAGAAGTTTTACATTTGACTTATAGTAAGAAAGGTAAAGGTAGACCTAAAAAGACTTGGGCATATTATACAAAAAATGATCCAAATCCACAATAAGACCTAGAATTAAATGAAAATATGACCCTCAATAAGACACAATGGTGAGAAACAATTCATGTAGCCGACCCCACTCAGTGGTATAAAGTTTTGATAGTAGAAAAAAATGATACTATTTGTTATTGTTGTTGTAAGAAATAAGATGATTATAAATAGTAGAAAAAAATGACACTATTTGTCTTTTAGCATAAGATTGAATATTTCCTCTATACATGATGATTATTAATTATTGAGATTAGTTGGAAAAAAAAAATTTAGCTAGATTAATTTATCCCATGCTATTATTGGATAAACATGAAAACTTTCTTTTAAAAAAAAAACTACGAAGTTCGAGACATTAAAAAATTCGATGTAATTTGACTAAATCTCAAGACATTCATTCACAAATAGCGAACACATAATTTATGATTATCACGATCTAGACTTTGCTTTGAAAACTCGCTTCTTAAAAGCAAGAAAAAATAAAATACATTAAAAAACATTACAAATTCTTCATCATGTAAAATAACATCCAAATACCTAGCTTCAAAGGACTTTTAAACTCAACTCCCAAACTACTAAACTAGAAAAGCCCCAAAATGAAAGCCCTCTTAACTTTTGTGGTCAATTAAGATTAGCATCTTATTAAACAAAACTTACCTCTAAGTATAAGAAAGATAAAATTGCAATATAAAACATTTAGAATTGATACAACGATTCTACTTAGTAAGCTCACACCAAATTGAATCATTTAGAGCTTGATGATGAACGCCTTAAAAACAAAGTAAATTTCTCTCTACAATCTCTCTTTTAAGTAAATTACTCATTATAAAAACCTACAACTTGAATTATAAAATTTTAATATGACTTTGTCCAATTGCTCCTCTGTAAGGAACAAAAAAAAAAAAAAAAACATTGCATCTGGAGTCTGGAAGTAAGCTGCGTCCAGACAATGGCTGTGATCCATTAGAAGGAGTGAAGGAGGAAAAAAAATGACCTGCGGTGAATCGTAGCCGTTGTCCGAGAAATAGCTTGTGTCGGGACTTCGGACGTAACATTTGTTGCTATGTCACTGCAAATGAACTCGTGTTTTAATCACCTCTACTTGAATTGTTTAACCAAGCATTTTAATTTACCTGAATAAGTGATAATTTATTGAACCTTTATTAATAAAATTAATTCAAATAAATTTAGTAATTGAAATTTTATATTTAAGTCTTTTATTCTTTTGTTAAGCGTGCTACTCCTAATTTAAAGAACAATATAAATAGTTTACTCTTTTCCAATGTAGGACAAAATAATTTTGGGATAATTACGTACAAATCATCTGAAATATTAATATTTACAATTTAATCATTTAGGAGATTTGTTTGAACAATCGAATCAATGTATTTAGTGCGCCGCAGAATTAGATAAAAAATGAAAAATATGGATTGGGGTTTTATCATGAATTTTGATATTTGAGCGAGAATTTAAAAAATGAATGAAAGAGGGGCTGACTTGTAAATAGCAAGTTTAGGGTGGTCTCTATTTACTTGCCCCAATAACTTTTAATGTAAAAGCTTGGCATTTACATTCATACCTCTCAATTTTGAGAAATTATTCCACACAGACACGGCATGCAGAGATGCATGCGGTGTCCGATCTCCGCCGTCGATCACCGCAATCAGAATTTTTTTTTTT